CCAGATAACATTGAACAAACATTCTATTAACATTACTGGAGGAACGTTAGTTCATAACTTTGAGAGAACCTGGCCAGATTATTAGCCAAAGTTATGAGAATATCCCCTGTAAGTAAGTGGTTTGAATGGCTTTACTGCAGAGGAATTACTATTCGCAATGAAATCTAAATGTCACTGTCATTTGATGCTGGATGTGGTGAATAAGCTGCCAGTGATCAAAATATTGAATATGAAGTCATTGAAAACGATAGTTTTGAGAATATGGCTGAGATCGTGAATGTGAGGCAGATGCTGGGTGTACTGTGGAAGTGCGCTCTGACGATGACAGCGTTGGTAAAATCATCTGCTCAAATTGAACCCTTTTAACTTTCAAAAGGTAACGAAATATGCTTTATTTTATTCTTCTGTAATTGTTCTTAAAATATCAAGAGAGTTATTTGCTATTGCAGCAGTTAGAGATCCATCCCTGCTGGGTATATTGGTCCGGGTCACTAAAAGACCCGAATATGTAATAATGATTAGCGAAACATTCATGCATTTAAGGGTTAAAAGGCTGCTTATATGCACATCTGCTTATTGTTTATGAGATACAGACATGAGGCTGACAGCTAGCTGAACATATACTTGTTTAATTAGTGACACTTACATTTTAAAAACTTTATTTGAATATGGTGACATTTTTATTTTATTTTATTTTTTAATTTGACAACATGATACCTCATTCGACAATATTTCTGTGATTAAATCACTGACAGAGACCCATCACTTATCAGCCGATCACTGGGGGATTAGTTAGCAAGCTTGTTTACATCATCCATAGCAATAAGGATACAGCCCCATATTGTGAATACGGCCCCATATGTAAAGGGTTCATAAATGCGTAGCTGGATCTGCAGCAAACTCAGAATGTTTGAAAATATCAGCATGGTAAATTTTCTTTCAGTAGTCAAAAAACATGAATATCAAATGTGATTGCTACCCAGTCAACACGTGATCTCATGCGATGATCACAGTGACATCACACCACTCTCATACTGTGATACTCACTGTGAATTCAAAATGTTGAGCAGGGCCCGTATTTATCAAGCTTCTCAAAGTGCCATTTTAGTCTTAAGTGCTGAGAATTCATGAAATTTACTTCTACTTTCAAACTTAAGTATAAAAGCAAGCTATCAAATTTCTTAAAGCTAAGAAACCATTTTACTCTCCCATTTATTTAAGACAGCTCGAGAGGTCTCTCAAGCGGTTAAGAGTTGCCAGTAGGGGCTTGTGATGGCACTGAGGAGACAAAGACGTGCACAAATCTTTCAGGAGAGGAAGAATGTTTTTGAAATGTTTGACGATGAGCAGTTAATCAAATCGGTATCGTTTGGACAGAACAGGGCATCATCTTTGTCAGCAACTTGGTGAGAGACATAATATCACCACTAACTTTACACAGCAATGCATTTTCAGCTGAATTATTGAAGGTTGTGATAACGCTTCGTTTTCTTGCCATAATGTATTCTCTTGAAAAATCTTTATTGTCAAATGTGTGTTGAATGTAAACTCGTCTTAGGAATTTCACCATTCAATGTGAATTTATATGAGAATATTCTTAAATACGGAAATCTTCAGTGATTGGTCCATGTCAATGTTGTCATTCAAAATCCCATTTGTGGTACAGCAAAGTGTCGTGAATCATATCTATGACTGACACTTAAGATTTAGTACTACACTTCACTTAAATTACAACTTAGACGCTTGATAAATAACTTTTAAGCACAGCTTTGAGACAATTTTTGAGCCAAGATTTTGTTTTATTCTTAAGTCAATTCTTAGTATTGTTCTTATGCACACAAATGCTTTGAACAATTGTGGCATTTATACACACCGAGAAATTAAGAATCAGTGTAGGAAGGAGGTCTAAAGCACAGGAGAAACAGAATTAGAACTCCAACAAAACACATGACACAAAAACTGGTCTAAAGACACTGGGAGGCCTTAGCACAGTACCACATAGGCAGACTGAACTATCTGGCAGAAAATGACTGTAGACCCAGGGTTTAAATACTGGAGGCAGATGAATTGATTGGCAGCAGCTGATTCACATTCAACAATCAGCCACAGAGAGGAGTGCATAGCCATGCACCGGGATGCACCAACTCACAAACACAGACACACAAAAAGGAAAAACACAGCTGGCCAAAAATCCAAATCCCTGACAGTACCTCCCCTCAATGGGAGCCTCCAGGCGACCTGCCAGGCTTGTTAGGATGGGCTTGATGGAAGTCCCTAATAAGAGAGGGATCCAAGATGAAGGAGCGGGGCACCCAAGTCCGCTCCTCAGGTCCATATCCCTCCCAATCCACCAGGTATTGCAGAACTCGTCCCCGACGACGGACATCCAACAATCGTCTCACTGTGTAAACAGAATTATCATCCACAACTCAGGCAGGAGGAGGGGGATTTGTCAGAGGGCAAAGTGGACTGACTTGAACTGGTTTTAACTGAGAGACATGAAATGAGAGATTAATTCTCATGGTTCTAGGCAGTTTGAGTCTGACAACAGAGGGGTTGATTTCAATTTCAAAAGGGCCAAGGCAGCGAGGAGAGAGTTTCTTAGAATCTGTCTTTAAAGGAATGTCTTTAGAAGAAAGCCAAACTTTCTGACCTGGTTGATAAATGGGTGCAGGGATTCGACGACGGTCAGCAAGGTGGCGATTACGATTAGCTGAATGGAGCAGGGCAGACCGGGCTTCCCTCCAGATCTTACGACAGCGATGGATGTGGACTTGAACTGATGGAACAGCAATGTCATTCTCCTGTACTGGAAACAAATGAGGCAAATATCCCAAAGAACACTCAAATGGAGACATACCAGTAGCTGAGCTGGACAGGGAATTGTAAGCATATTCAATCCAAGTGAGGTGAGTACTCCAAGACGAAGGATTATTTATAGCCACACACCGTAATGCCGCTTCCAACTCCTGGTTAGCCTGCTCTGCTTGCCCATTAGACTGAGGATGAAAACCAGAAGACAAACTTACAGTAGCACCAAGCACATGGCAGAAGGCTTTCCAAACCGGAGATGTAAATTGGGGCCCACGGTCTGAGACAATATCTAGAGGGATGCCATGAAGCTGGAAATCATGCTGGACAAGGAGGTCAGCGGTCTCATGAGCTGTGGGCAATTTAGGGAGAGCCACAAAATGCACTGCTTTAGAGAAACAGTCCACAATAGTAAGGATAGTGTTGTTGCCTTGTGAGGTAGGCAGTTCAGTAATAAAATCAAGAGCAATGTGTGACCAGGGGCGGCTGAGAATAGTAAAAGACGAAGCAAACCAGCCGGGGGAAGATGTGAAGTTTTCCAACATGCACACACAGAGCAGCCATTGACAAATTCCCGAGTATCCTTGTCCATAGTGCCCCACCAGAAATGTCGTTTAAGGAGGTTAAGAGTGTGACTAGAACCAGGGTGGCAGGCATACCGGGATGCATGTGCCCACTGGAGGACTTGGGAACGAACAGCATTGGGGAAAAACAAACGTCCAGGAGGCCCATTGCCTGGATCGGGTTGGGTGCGTTGAAACTCCCGAATCACTGACTCAATTTCCCAAGTGATGGCGCCAACCACACAGGAAGGAGGGAGAATGGTTTCAGGGCTTGGTGGGTCCTCTTCTGGAGTAAATTGTTGTGAAAGTGCATCTGGTTTAACATTCTCTGTGCCAGGGCAGTAAGTAAGCGTAAAATTGAAGCGACTAAAAAATAGGGACCAACGTGCTTGTCTAGAATTTAGACGCTTAGCAGTTTGTATGTAGGCTAGGTTTTTATGGTCAGTCCATACCAAAAATTGTTGTTCACTTCCCTCAAGCCAATGTCTCCAGTGTTCCAAGGCTAACTTCACTGCCAATAATTCCTGGTTCCCCACATCATAGTTACGTTCAGCAGTGCTCAAGTGACAAGAAAAAAAGGCACAAGGATGAAGCTTCTGATCAGTATCAGAACGCTGGGACAGAATAGCTCCTACACCAGAGTCAGAGGCATCCACTTCCACGATGAACTGCCGAGATGGATCTGGCTGAATAAGCACAGGAACTGAGATGAACAGTTCTTTTGCCTCCTGTGTCCACATAAAAGGGGTGGAGGAAGAGAGTCTGGTGAGAGGAGCTGCCACAAGGCTATAATCCCTAATAAAACGGTGAAAAAAAATTGGCAAAGCCCAAAAATCATTACAGCTGTTTAAGGGTGGTAGGTTTTGGCCATTCTGTCACTGCCCGGTTCTTCTCTGGATATTTCTTCACCTGCCCGCCCTCAATTACGTATCCCAAGAAGTTTACAGAACTGACATGAAATTCACACTTCTCTGCTTTTACAAACAGTTTGTTTCCGAGAAGCCTTTGCGGAACTAGACGAACATGGCTGATATGTTCAGAGATGGTGTGGGAGAAAAGTAGAATGTAATCCAGATATATCAAATATGAAGTGGTTGAGAAAGTCCCTGAGGACATCGACCAAAGCTTGGAACACTGCTGGAGCATTTGTAAGTCCAAATGGCATCACCAGATATTCAAAATGTCCAAGGGGCGTGTTAAAAACGGTCTTACATTCATCCCCTTCTTTTATTCTGACCAGATGGTAAGCATTATGCAAGTCCAGCTTAGTGAAAACTGTGGCTCCATGAAGGAGATCAAATGCTGAGTTGATGAAAGGGAAGGCAGAGGAGTTCCAGAAAACAGATCTATTGAGCAGTCATATGGACGGTGGGGTGGCAAGGTCAGGGCCTGATCCTTACTAAAGACAGCACCAAGGTCATTGTATTCAGAAGGAGACAGATCAGGAGGTTCTGGAATGGAAACAGCTACAACATCCTCAGCTGGTGGAAGGGCAGACTGCAGACAGGAGGAATGGCTGGGTAAACTTCAATTCATCACCTTTCCTGAAGACCAGTCAATATGGGGATTATGAAGTCTCAACCATGTGTGTCCTAAAACCAGAGGAGAAGTTGGAGAGGAAATAATGTTCAGTTGAATGTACTCATGATGATTACCAGAGAGAACCAGAAGTAGAGGAACAGTACGATGAGTGATCTGTGCCAGGAATTTACCATCTAATGCGTTAACTGAAATGGGTGAATCCAATGGCACTGTGTGAATTCCAGCCTGGGAAGCCAACTGTTCATCAAGGAAACTGCTGGCCAAAAATCCAAATCTCTGACAAGAAGAGCACTACATTTGGTTAAGTTATATAACTGATAAAATAATTTGGCAAAATTATTTTGTCTTTTTTTTTTATTAGACCAGGCATTCCCCTCATTCTCCTGGGCATTACTCAATAATCTTTGCACATGTGTCATGCATAATTTGTTACTAGGGATGAACGGTGTTATTGAAACATCATTGGCCGATAAAGGCTACTAGTGCTGTTAAACGATTAATCGTGTTTAGATAATATATGCTTGTGTACTGTGTATATTATATTTATTATATACTTTTTGCAAACTTTTACCTGAATGGTGATTAGATTAGAATAAAAAACAATACAACATCAACATATAAACCTCTGTAATTCTCATAAAGAATGTCTGTAAACAGCTGACAGCAATCAAGTCAATCTGGTTATTAATAAGTGAAGCTGGTAATGCTGTTTGTGGAGTTGTTTAATCAGATCTTGAGAGATTTAATGTCTTCTTTTATTCCAGTTGATTTCATCTAAAGCTGTGGCTGGAAGTCGGTTGTATTTCTTGTGTTTCTGCTCGTCTCATTTTGCCATGCATTTCACAGTTGTTGTTGTTGTTTTTCCACAACCAGTGTAATTCTGGTTGTGAACAGTAGGTGTCATCACAAATGGTAAATCATCACTTGATTCATCATTTAATTATCTCATTAACTCCAGCACTGCTTAACAGTAATAAACTGTAAATTAAGTTGATGACAAGCGACCAGCGAAACTCTCAAAAGCTTTACACTTAACAGTCAGATTTAATAAATTAAGCTTAAATATAGTGAAAGATCATTGCAATTAATAGAAAACAGATATGTGATCTCAGTTACTGATCAGGAGAGTAAATGTGGAAATAAGCTGGTTGTCTGTTTTCGCCCAAGATTAATAAGGGAGATCTGCTACACTGTAAAAAATAAACAAAAATAAATAAATAAATAAACTGTGAAATGTATGGCAGCACAGGGTGCCAACCAGAATAGTGCTGGTTGTGAAGAATACACAAAAAAAAGGCAGTCCAGGGTGCCGATCATTTAACGTTCATGGAAATAACAGTCAAAGATCATCAACTGAAGGAACATGTTTAGACTGAAAAAAAATAGACAAGATGAGCAGAAACACAAGAACTACACTGTTAACCAAAAAAAAAAATAATTGAAAAACTTTTTTCAGGTTGTTTTCTTTCATTTTAAATTGCAGTCAAACCCTCTGTAAAATTCTCTAAATTGACTAGGCTGTTATTTTAAATAGTTCGACATTAATGACGGATTACAGTAGTTCACTTTTTTTTTTATACAGACAATTACTGTATTTATATACAGTATTCAGTTTTCTTAAATTAAATACAAATGTCAAATTACAAAAAAAATTATCTGTAATTAATACAATTAAGAAAATAACAAATGAAAAAAAAATTAAAGAAAAATCTTTTAAAATATCAATGCAAAACATGATTTCATACCCAAGTACTGTAGGGCTACAATAATGAAAAATAATAATACATCTAAATAATATATGATGAGATGAGACTAAATATTTAAACTGAATCATCAATATATAATTTCATCTGGTCAGATTTGCTCTAACATTTTTTTCTGTAACAAACGTGCTTTCAAAACACACAGTTACTGCAGCTGGAGAAAACAAATATTAAAAAGTCAATGGTCAAGAACCCAAATAAAGCAAATGCTTATCTCCACAACGGTGACTTCAAACTTTATTAGTTTCAATAAAACATCAACATCTAAACCTCTGTTAATTTTCAAGAAATATGTATGAAAGAAATAAAGTCAGACTGGTTTGTAATAAGTGAAAATGCTGGGATCTAGAGATCTGAGTTTTGTGGGTTACCATTGTGCTGAAGTGTAGAGTCTGTGCTTCAGTCCAGGAAAAGACCAAGAAACATTGATGTTTTGCTGCATGTTGCTTTATTTAAAGGCAGTAATTGTGTAGCTGTTGATACAGTGATACTTACATTAGCTAATGGTTAACTGCATGATATTTACATTTTACAGAAAGTGTTTCAAAATAATAATCTGTGAATTACTTATGAAATTTGTGTAAAACATTTAAGAGAAATTATGATATAAATTCTAGGATAGAATTTTTTTCTTTAACCATTATTTTTATTAATAGTAAACATTTGGCACCCTGTGCTGCCATGCATTTCACAGTTGTCTCATAACACATTGAACACAAAACAATTTGAATATTTGAATCTTTTAAGACACACACAGTCATCAAGAATCAGCATATGAATTTCAACAGCGTTGACAATTCAGGCTGCAGTGTATGCTGGGAGTTATGGTTGAGTTTTCTCTAGTGTACCCAGAATGCATTGCAGCATGAATCATGTCACCACTGTTGAGATTCATTCACTGATTCTTGATTTCTGTGTGTGTTTATATATGTTTAAGAAGCTCTGAGTATTTTATGTAAAAATTGTAATGTTCTTCTATCACAGCTTAATGCTAACATGCTCTCTCAAATGATCACTGTAAACAATAATATGAAACTAATAACACATCACCAAAAACTAAAGTCAAAATATTAAAAGAACACTCCACTATTTTTGAAAATAGGAGATGCTAATGGTCTAATCAGATTCAATGATCTATGCTAAGCTACAGCTAAAAGTGTTACCGCCAGACCCGGAGCATGGCTGAATGGATTAGAAAACGGTAAAACTAAACTGTTTAACTCTAGGGGGGGTTGGAAAATGAGCCTATTTTCAAAAATAGTGGAGTGTTCCTTTAAGGGCCAGCTGCCAAACTAAAGCAAACACTAAACACATTAATTGTGACAAATATAATTTTCAATAAAACATCAACATCTAAACCTTTGCAAATTCTCATAAGAACGTTTATATGACAGAAATAAAGTCAATGTTGTTAGTAATGTGTGAAGCTGCAATGCTGTTTGTGGAGTTGTTTAATCATCCTCTGCTGAGATCTTGAGATTTAATGTCTTATTTTATTTCATTTGATTTCATCTAAGGCTGTGGTTGTATGTTATAGTTGTTTCTCTTTTGTCTGTTCTTGTTTATCTTTCCTTCAGTAATTCTGCTTGTTAACATCAGCTGTCTTCAATATTGCTCAATCATCATTCAGTTAAATTTATGTATATTTATGCTCAGATTTCTTTCGATCGGGCGTGGAAATAAGATAATTCAACTCAGATACACACCGAGTAACTGTATAGGGTCCCCAGAATTTGGCCCAAAATGGTGATGCAGGCAAAGGCAACAATACCAGGACCTGATCGCCTGGAGAAAACTCTCGCATTTCAGAACCCCAGTAAAAATAATCGCTTCATTTTCCCCTGCTTCCCCACAATTCTCCCGTGCAGCTTGACCTGCCAAAAACAATCTCCTCCTAAACCCATTCACATAGTCCAATAGGCTTATCGGAAGCTCTTTTTCCCTTCAGGCAGTCCTCTAGAATGGCTAAAGGACCACAGACTTTATGCCCCAAAACCAGCTCATTAGGGCTAAAGCCTAAACTAGACTGTCACCTCTCTTGCTGCCAAGAGAAGCCAAGGCAGTCCCTCCTCCCAGTCACGATTCAATTCAGTACAATAAGCGCACAACAAAGTCTTCAACGTCTGGTGAAAACGCTCCAGCACGCCTTGACTTTGTGGATGATAACCGCTTGACTGTTGGTGCCGCACCCGCAGTTGTTTCAGTATCTTGGCAAACATTTTGGAGGAAAAATTTGTTCCCCGATCACTCTGAATAAATTGCGGAATACCAAAAATGGCTATAAATTGTGAGAGAGCCTTAACTACGGCCTTGGTGGTAATTTTCTGCAACGGAAAAGCAGCAGGATAACGGATATTTTGACACATGGCCGTCAACAAAAATTTGCTCCCCGATTTTGAGGGTGGCAACGGGCCCACGCAGTCAATCAAAAGATATTCAAACGGTTGCCCCATTACAAGGAATGAAACATAACAGAGCTGGCTTAAGAGATTGATTTGGTTTCCCCGTCATTTGACATGCGTGACACATTTTGATAAACTTAGAAACATCCTTTTTTAACAAGGGCCAATAAAAATGTCTCAATTTGAACTTAAGTTTTCTTAACCCCCAGATGCCCCGCAACGGGACCATGCGCTACATTGAGCACTACCTCCCGCAACTTAGTAGATAATACAAACTGTACCACCAACTCACCCTCACGGACCTCACTCTGGGACATCCATTTCCGTAACAGCATCCCATCGTGTAGAAAATACCCGAATGCTGCAATTTGCGCCTCATCTGGAGACAAAACAGCGCTAAATAACTGGGACAACGTCGGGTCCTCCTGCTGCGCAGCTGTTAACTCTGCACGGGAAAAAGTGGGGAGAAGAGAAAGACCAGAAACAACATAATGACAGGACTTCTGTCAAGGAGCCTCCTCGAACTCTCCCTGCATAAACTCATTAGCTGCTTTAGTTTTAGACCGAGTCACAGCACACGATGGAAACACATTTGAAAATTCCTCAGCAGCAACATCGACCGGACTGACCGTAGACAGCGAAGCAACAATGGGTAACCCCTCAGTCACAAACGGAATATAACTCTGGTTTAATCCCAGCAAACATTCATTCCGCGGGACAACCCGCAACGGTTTCTCATCAGGACAAAGCTCGGGACGAACAAAACCAGTCAATAATACTGGAGAGGAAACATTTTGCGATCTTATCGAACCTTTACCACGCATTTGTTTACTTTTGAGGACAGGACATTCTTTTTTCCAATGCCTTTCTTCAAAACAATAACAGCACACAGAATCAGGAACAGCTCTTGGAGGTGCATTTGACACTTTATCTGCTTTTAATAAACCAGGTTTCTGAAGATTCGGTCTCAAGAAACCCTCACTATAATTCCTACCCCTATTCAGTCTATAGTCACCCACCCTATTTTTGTGCGTTACCACAAAATCATCAGCTAACACTGCAGTCTCCCCAGCAGTCCTAGGCTTGTTCTCATTAATATAGGTGGCGATATTTTCTGGAACAATACTTTTAAGCTGCTCAATGAGAATCAATTTTTGCAGGCCCTCAAATGTACGTACACTGGAAGTAGAACACCAGCGGTCAAAATGAGTAGTTAATTCACGAAGAACTTCAACATGGGTTTGTCGGTCATTTATTTCCAAGTGCGAAAACGTAATCGATACGCCTCTGGGACCAATTCAAAAGCTGTAAGAACTGCAGCTTTTACCTTCCTATAATCTTTACGATCCTCCCCTGAAAGCGCAGTATAGGCTTCTTGAGCTCTACCAACTAACACTGACCGCAGCATAATTGTCCGGTCAGTGTTAGGCCAAAACCGTTCATCAGCCACACTCTCAAATAACGAAAAAAAAAAACAAAAAAAAACGTCAGGATCTTTTTTCGTTAAACTTCGGTAGCACCTTCAAATTACTTACCAATTCCCCAGACCGATCGCGTTCTCTAACACCATCTGCTGACAGTCTTCCATCAGTCATAAATTTCAGTCGTTCTATTTGTAACTGATAATCTTTAGCTTGTCGATCTAATTCAAATTTTTTCTCATGTCTAAGTTTTTCATATTCAATTTCTTGTTTCAATTTCTTGCTTTCGCTGCTTCACCAGATCCTCAGCCCTCAGTTTTGCTAACTCAGTTTCCTTTTCTTTTAGTTCTCTCTCACGTTCCGTAGCTTGCCTATACATTTCTTTTTCATGAGCCTGCCTTAACTCCAATATTTCTTTTAGTTGTTCAAACGATAAATTACTCATTGAAAAATCAAACTTCCCTACCTCTATATCAGCCGTTTCGGACACCTCCATCAGCATGCCACAATCAACCAACTTCCCTTTAATCAGCGCTCTCAACTCTTCTTTTCGCAAGAGTTTATCGATCCCAACCAATTTATAACTCTCTACAATCCCCCATAACTTCTGCTTCGAACACAGATTTAATTTTTCTTCTGACGGGGAACTAACAAATTCTTCTAACAAAGTCATACCTAAGAAATTGGACTTAATTTTCAACTAAGCGCAGTAGTGACAAATAATATCACGTCATTTTCTAACATCAGACACGATAAGCAATCTCGGCTCACAATCAAATCTCCCCCTAACTATCCCATACCCCCACTATATAACTCAACCCTAACTCTTCTGTGCTTTCCCAAGAGTCGAGCCTCTTTAAGCATCTAATACCGCTAGTGCAAAGCTGAACTGTCGGTCCAGATCTACAATCACGGCTGTGCACTCAACCCAGGAAAACACCAAAAAAAAAAACATTAACAACCTATCCGGGGAGCAAAACCAATTTATTATGAGCCGCATTGACTTACCAGTCCGAAGCCAAACAAGTACGAACTGCTCTCCCTAAAACGTGCACACCTGATCTATTAGTAAAGAGTTACTAATTACCAGTCCGCGTGCCTCTCGAAAAGACGAGCCCCCATATGTTATAACCGGCTCCAAATTGCAACATAAACGAGAGCCAACACGGACCAGCAAGTAGCAAAGAAAAATAGATTATTTAACAAAAGCATAATTAACAAAAGTATTCAAACAGTCAGTAGTCAGTATTAATGTAAGTCAGTGATGTAAGCGTGCATGACAGTGGACTGTAGGCTCAAGGTCTGAACTGTATGCAAACAAAATAAACAACAAAACAAAAGAGAAAGCAGCAGGTCCCACTAGTGTGGTCACATCGTGCCCCTGTCCTCATCAGCACTGCAGTTTATATAGCTCCGCATAATGAGCCTCAGGTGGGAAGACACACCCCCAATAACCAGTATACCTGCAAATCAAAAACAACACAAGGAAAACACAGGGACACTGGGACATAACAATATATATATATATATATATATATATGAATAGTTTACTTGCAAAAACCGATAAACGCCACTTTAAAAAAAATTGTCCCAAATGGAACACTTCATGTGCATAAATTGAGCTGATTGCCATGCATTATTCTCCAAATATAGCGCAATCTGAACCCAAACACGTTTTGTCAAAAAAGCCGGTATTGTCCACTTTCAAAGCATCGTGAGTTCATGTTTTACTGCAGAAGCCGACAAGCGCCTTTGGCCCTGTCCCAAATGGAACACATCATGTGCACTTTCAGTCTTGCGGACTTACAATGGCCGCTGCGTGTGCGTGTCCGTTAAGTTCACGAGACCATTGGGTGTCCCTTTCATCATTTTAGCATTCAGAAGGGTGCTCACGAGCGCCCCCTTTGCGGCCGCTATGCGCCCTCGATGTGCACATCTGCCGAGCCCGCACTGGGGCAAGCTCCGCAGCAGACTTCTACCCGACAGTCAAAGCGGCATTACGTCACGAAAGTGCGGACTCATAGGAAGACCGTGAGGGTTTAGGGTGCCATTCGGGACAGGGCCCTTGTTGTTTTTGAACAGAAGCCGGTAAGTATATTTTAGCGAATCAGCGCGCTGTATTCAGGTCAGGTGACAAGGCTACTTTCACTTTGAAAAGACGTGCTAGCTGAGAGGAGTTTCGTCAAAGCTGACTAAAACTTGATGAACCTGTGATATCTTCTTCAGGGCATATAAGGAAAATAAAAGCTGAAACATTTTCACAAAACCTTGAAAAAGCAGCGCGTTACAATGGTGAGGGAAAAGCTCCATGTTTTGTGTGTAATCACATCCATACAGTCTATGATCACAACAACAACAAACTTTGTCAGGCTACACTGTCATCTGAGGAGATTTTTTATTTTTACAGTGTGGCTATATACATTTTCAAATTGACCGGAAGGAGAGGATTAGGGACACTTTACAGTTTGTTTGTTTTTTTATACCCTCAAAAACTCTATAATAATCTAGTCATTCATTCTTTTATTTATTCAATTATTTACTTATTACTTTATAAATTGTCATTAATTAAATTGGTCTGATTCTGTAAATCACATTGTTTTCGAAGAATATGCAGTTTCTAAATTCTTCAATTTTCTATGCCGGCTTTCCCAATAAAATCATTGATGGTGGGGGCACTATCAACACCTAAGAGCACCCATTTTTAAATTCTGTCATTTACTTTCTTTCCTACTGTACATTTTATAAAGTAGGCTAATGTTGACCTATTTACTTTCAGATACGATGTTGCCATGAATGTACATTGAACGAGAAATGTAGAATGGTTTACAGTAAAAGGAATCTGAATCATAAAAAACAATAGATTTCATATTGTCTATTCTTTTGTATGTAGGTAGAACTGAAACATAAATTAGTGCAGTTTTTCTAATTCCTTCAATTGTTAGCTCAAGCATTAGAAATTGGTGTTTTTATGTTTGTTTGTTTGGTTTTTTCATTGTTTTTACAAGGAGAAAGACATTTGAAATAAAAAAAACATTTTTCCATGAATATGAAACTAAACCCAACCTGCATTCTTGAATAAAACACTATGAATAAAAGTTAGTACTGTGTGCCATATCATATAAGATATCACTATGGAAACCAATCCTTCCCAAGCACAGACAAAAACACAATAATGGTTATTATGTAAAGAACCAAGAAGGTCACATCTGTCATTCTTGAAATGCTGGTCCAGCACAGAGATGCCTTTCCTTGTTGGTTTTGTTGAGTTCCAGCCAGATATTCAGTTAAAATCTGCTTCAGAAGGTCCAGAGTACAAGATTGTTCTTCATTCTGATCTCTGACTGAGCCTTGAGGGCTCTGCAGGGATCTTATAGCATCTGTGAGACAAAACATGGCTCTGGATTAACACTATATTTCTTCACTATATTTCTTTCTACTATATTTCTTCTGTGTAAACCTACCAGCAGTTGTGGTTTCTATTGATGCTGCTGATCTCTTCTCTGTTCCTCTGGCCATCAGAAAACTCACAAGGATGGTCTCCAGAATGCTGATGCCAATTAGACTGAAAATCACACTGCAGTAAATCCCTGTGAAGACAAGCAGTATGACTGTAACAGGTAAATGCCTCTGAAATAACACCTTGATGGATTATACCAGTGGTTTTCAATCCTTGTCCCACCCACCACTTTACACATTTTGTATGTCTCTCTTATCTGACACACTCAGTTCAGTGCATGGAGCAGAGATTGTCTTACTATTGGGAGATGAGAGGCTCTGTATTACTTACTATTGGAGAAAGTATAATTGTCAACTTGGATCACGTGTGCCTTAAAGGGGACCTATTATGCCCCTTTTTACAAGATGCAAAATAAGTCTCTGATGTCCCCAGAGTGTGTATGTTAAGTTTTAGCTCAAAATACCCCACAGATAATTTTTTATAGCTTGTTAAAATTGGTATTTTAGGGTATGAGCCAAAACGCGCCGTTTTTGTGTTTGTCCCTTTAAATGCAAATGAGCTGGTGCTCCCGCCTCCCTTTTCAGAAGAGGGCTGAGCTTCAAGAGCACATGCTCCGGCAATACCGGCAACAACAAATAATCTCGTGCACTGAAACTGTTAGAAACTCTCAAGCAATCGACTCACATTGCTTTCATATGAAAATGAACTTAACCACAGTGTCCTCAGCGGCTCAGATGGAGGGAGTCTATGGAGACTCCTATATTCGTTGGTGCATCCCAAAACACAACACTTATAATGCCTGTTTGGGGCTGACATTGTATATCTCCAGCAGCTACAGCAAGAAAACAATAATGGCAGACTGCTGCTTCTCACTCAGGGCTGTGTCTATGCTAATAGGGCAGAGAGCGACACAAATGGGCGGGACTTTTTCCATTCAGTGACGTGTATGTAGGGAGAATCTGAAACCGCTCGTTTGCAGAGACTGTTTATTATTTATTGGGATTATAAAAAAAATGAGTGGGTGGATTTTTACCATTATAGGCTGGTTGTTTTCACACACTGCAGCCACACAACTGTGTTCAAACGCCTTATACAAAATATTTTTTGCATTATAGGTCCCCTTTAATAACCAATCACATTACAGTCTTGACGTCATTGAATTTCAGTCCGAGTTGTGCGACACTCAATCGCCATTTACGGATACCATAGGAAAGAATGACATGTGCCGTAAGCTGAATCCCACCTGTCGCAAAAAGTCAGTAACTTCTCTTATAAAGCAGCATTTTTTTTCAGTGTAAACTCTAAAAATAGTTCAATCCAAAAGTATTGTTCAGTGTAAAACATATTGAAGATTAGCCGATAGGCTGTTGATTCATTAAATGATAAGCCGTTTCTTTGAAAAAGCTGTTTATTCAGTGTAGTGAAGACTCTCCTCCATTGACATCCATTAAAAAAAAAAACAGCCTCTGGTCTCCTTTCCCACGTACTGGCAAAACGGAAGCGTTAGCATTAGCTGTTACACCTTTTTTGGCAAAAGGTTGCAGGCTTGCCTTCTAGTGGCTTTGCATGGAGCTCTCTCCTAATGAGCTTATGATCTGAATCAGGTGTGTTAAATAAGGGAGACACACAAAATGTGCAGGGGTTCTCAACTCTGGCCCTCGATGTCCACTTTGCTGCATGGTTAAGCGCCAACCTTAAAGTCTGTGTAAAGTAATAATAAATATGTGTTCTGAGCTTGTCACACCACAGAAAAATGTGATATTAACCACCCAGCCAAATTAGAATGATAAAAAAAAAAACGCCAAGCAAATAAAATAAGGTTTTGATACCTTATTTTATTTGCTTGTTTTTTTTTATCATTCTTATTTGGCTGGGTGGTTAATAACACACCCGAACAAGCCTGAATCACCTGAATCAGGTGTGTTAAAATAAGGAAGACATTCAAAATGTGCAGAGCAGTGGTACCCCAGTGGCCTGTAGCACGAAGCCGGTTTCAGGTTTTACCCAGGTAAGTTCACATTTAGTTTGAGCAAACTTTGAGTTTTCGTGCTCAAGAAGGTGGGTTGGTTTTTAGCGGGTTTCGTCACCATGGTAACTTACGCTACATGGCTACCCTGCTCCGGGTTTGTGATCTCTTGGGTTAGAGATCACAAACCCAAACTGGACCAATCATCTGTGAGCAAAGTGACATATATCTGATGCAATGAAGCCACTCCCCCGTATCTCTCACTCCAAATTAAAGCAGTTTACAGTCAAAGAATTTTAAAGACAAAAAGTCAGTATATACATATATAAGCTATATACTGTATATAGGCTATACACACACATACATATAGATAAGCTTTACTATATCCAACTTTTAAAATGCATAGACATATATTTTCTTTCTGCTGCCAAACTTTTGCTGCAGCAGAAGTGTTTATTCCTGCCTTGTAAATGCATTTAAATTTATTACATTTTTAAAAACGACATCTCTTAACCTTCAGCAGAAAAGTGAAATGCGCTGACTCTCGCGAGAAGTGAATCTAACTGACGCTTTGCTGATGCTCTCCACACGTTCCCTGTGATTGGTTGTTTGCTGAATGTGTGTCACACATTAATCACAAACTCTGGTTCAAACTCTGAGTTGGGAGAGAAGGTTTATATCGAGCTTTGTGAGCCCAGTGAACCTGGGGCCCGTTCTTCGTACGTTGCTAACTCAGTTAGCTGGATTTGATTGTTGACGATTTTTCAGCCACTCCCCCGTATCTCTCACTCCAAATTAAAGCAGTTTACAGTCAAAGAATTTTAAAGACAAAAAGTCAGTATATACATATATAAGCTATATACTGTATATAGGCTATACACACACATACATATAGATAAGCTTTACTATATCCAACTTTTAAAATGCATAGACATATATTTTCTTTCTGCTGCCAAACTTTTGCTGCAGCAGAAGTGTTTATTCCTGCCTTGTAAATGCATTTAAATTTATTACATTTTTAAAAATGACATCTCTTAACCTTCAGCAGAAAAGTGAAATGCGCTGACTCTCGCGAGAAGTGAATCTAACTGACGCTTTGCTGATGCTCTCCACACGTTCCCTGTGATTGGTTGTTTGCTGAATGTGTGTCACACATTAATCACAAACTCTGGTTCAAACTCTGAGTTGGGAGAGAAGGTTTATATCGAGCTTTGTGAGCCCAGTGAACCTGGGGCCCGTTCTTCGTACGTTGCTAACTCAGTTAGCTGGATTTGATTGTTGACGATTTTTCATGATCTTGGATTATTTGGTTCTTCGAAGCTCATCCCGGAGTTGCTGTCATAGCAACAGGTCCGTAAGCTTAAACCTGCTCGGGAGCGTGCTTATTTTCAGCTTTACATCTTTTTAAGTAGAACTGATACTTAAAATCTGTCCGCTACCACCGCTACTTTATTACAAGAGTATCCTACTGATCCAGGGACAATAATTTAAAATAAGAATCGTTTAAAAATTAATTTAAAGATAATAGAATAATGTTGTGTCGTCTTTAATACTATAGACACAGCCAGTTTTACTCACTGAAAGATTTATTTGTCATACAATTATTACTTCATAATTGTATTCGAGTCTTACACACATGCTATACAGATAATGTAGAGTCGTGCATTAATTTGAGTGGTGACAGATATTATGGGAGTGGCTTGATGGAGCGCAGGAGATGCAGATAACATGATCTTGGCCCTTAAGAAACTATAAATAATGCTGTCACATAACAAATCTGTTCAAATATAAAATTAAATGAATTGATAATTGCTACATTGAAATAAAAATGTAAAGCCTGTACAAAAATTTGAACTCGTGAATATAAATAATTGGGAATCATGTAAAAAAATGTAATAAAATAAAAACACATTTCATTTATCTATTATAAAATTTATGTAGTTTTGTTCGCTTGGCTGTTTCCTTATAAAAGTCCAGAAATTTGTCAAGTTTTTCGTCAGGTGTCTTTTTTAATTATATGATTTCATTACGTTGCTGTCTTGCCCCCAGCCAATCGTTGCATTGCTGATCATGGTTTCGAGTATCGATACATAGCCCCTTTTAAACCAACCCATGAACGCGCAATTATCTCAGATAACTCAATCCAGCCATACTAATCATCAACAACATGTGCGTTCGAAGAACCGAATTAGCCAGATCCTGATTAGCGCGATGATATCATCTTGTGTTGTGTATTTTGTTAACGTTGTTTATTTAACTATATCTCCCAGAATGCAATGTTATGTTGTATCTGGAAGTGTTCCGGTAAAAGTTGATATATGGAAAACCTGTAAAGAGAGCAGTCACGCTAAATCAGTGCAAGTGTCATGAGTGTTTAAGTGTGCCGTTCATTCTTTCTAAAGACACAACATCTTGGATGTGACATTTCATCTCGGATGTAATAAGCGACATACGAAGAACGGGCCCCAGGTTGGCTTTATCGGGTTTTGATAACTCAAAACTTACTCTGCAACTCTTGAGTTTGTTAATCTCGCTTCGTGCTACAGGCCACAGGACTGGAATTGAGAACCACTGAGATATGCTGTTGGGTATTTTCTTTGCACTAAGTGTAAACAGTAGTTAGATGATATGTGCACTATGTGTAAATATTGTGAGTGGCATCAGCAGATGTTAGACTCACCAATCAGTGGGATTTTATCAGCTGTAGAGGGCAGCGTGTCATTTAGAATCAGCAGCATCACAGAAATAGACAGCAGTAAAGTCACTTTAAAGCTCAACTTGTCTGTTCCACTTGCGTCTATGAAGAAGGACGTCACATCCAACACAAGAAAGAAAAATACTGGAAGTATGATGTTGATGACATACAGCAGAGGTCTCCTCTTTATGGTGATCTGCCATGTAGAAACAGAAAACATATAAACCAGTGGTTCTCAGCCATGTTACTGGATCCCAAACACCAACACGTGAGGTGCGATCAAGTCAGAGCAAGATGGTGATGCACTTCTTTTCAACTTCTACAAAATGATAAATAATGTGTATTTTTGCTTTTTTATGTTTTTATTCAAGTTAATGATGGTTTTAAATCATTATATATATATATATATATATATACATACAGTATAAACAGTGTTGGGAGTAACACATTACAAAAGTAATGCCATTACAGTAGTATATAACTCTTTTTGCTGTAACGCAGTAATCAGTGTTGGTTTAGTTACTTCCAAAATGTTATACATAATATTTTACTTATTACTGTCTTTTAAAAGTAATTACAAATTACAATTATAAAATTACTGTCTCTGAATTGTAATGGAGTCTTCACTGTCATCAACCTCAGTGTGAATAGGGTTGACCATTTTGTCCTCCAACACAACTGTAATATCACATGTAAACAATATTTTAATTTTAGAGCATTTCCTTAGGCAGCACCAACTAAAGAAAAACCTACTTTTAAAGCCAAATGAAATATTATGCTTTTTACATGCACTGGTCAATTTGGAGATTTTGGGCTATTTTGCCTCCATAACATGACTAGTGGAAAAAAAAGCAACAATTACAATACATTTCTATAAAGGCTGTTTCTAATAAATTTTTTCTCATGCCCTGAGCCGAACATTCCCAGACTTTCCATTTTTTACAGAGAGGTTTGTTCATAAGTCAATCCCATTTATTTATATTACATTTTGTTCCTAAAACATTTTTATGGCTGTTACAGCATTTTCTGATTTATGATAAAAAGTGAAAAGGAGGTGTCCAAAACCTCTGTGAAACCTTCAACACTTATATTTATTCTATTGTCATCATTTGTAAGTCGCTTTGGATAAAAGCGTCTGCTAAATGACTAAATGTAAATGTAATATAAATGTAATGCGCTACACTACTTTTGAGTTACTTTTGAGTTTCTTTCACTTTCAAGCACAAACCACATTTACATTCAGTAAATAAAGCGGAATTATAGGCCCTAATGTACAAACAATAAACACAATAGCTAGCCTATAAGTTATTTTAGTTCTCCTCACTCCACAACAAATCCTTTAAATTTAAGAAGATCTGTAAAGTTGCAAAAACTAAAGTCTCAAATCCAAAGAGATATTCTTTATAAAAGTTAAGAGTCAGCCACGCCTACCTAAAACGGCTCGTTCTAACACACCCCCACATGTCTACGTCACTGTGTGGGAAGATTTGCATAACGCTGCCCAAATGTTCACGCAAAGAAAGAAGGCCTAACTTTATTCTCGCTGTAGTTTTGTTGTTCCCGCCGCCATGTCGTAAAGATGCTGTGTGCTTC